CTTCAGAGGGGATCAAGCAATATTGGAGGGGGTCAAACCCTCCCCAAACCCCCTGTAATTTGCACATTGGTTATTCACACACTGCTGTCACACAACTGTTTAAACCACTTATAAAAGTGATTTAGCATAATAGGCCCCCTTTAAGACTGCATCACTTAAGGCCAATAGGTGCCAACAAGTCAATATCTACATCATACAATATACTTCAAATCATTTCCACTGAAACATGCATGTTTAACCACATTTCTTAAACAAATCACATATTTTAAGCCAGCGTTTAAGGGACAGTTCACACAGAAATGAACATTTACTCATCATTCACTCACACACAAGTGGTCTCAAACCTTGAATTTCTTCTGTTGAACACAAAAGAAGATATTTTGAAGAATGTTGTAAAAGAAAAACAGCCAAACTTTATTTTGATGGTCAGTTTGTTGAATTTAAGTTACATTGCATCTACAGTACATGCCAACTAATTTTCATTAGACTGTTGGGTTGGGGTTAGGGTAAGTTGACATGCACTTGCAAAGTTTCTTATAGTCAGTTAAATGTCTGTTGAAGGAGCAGAATCAGCAGATATTAAGCAGACAGTCTACTAATACTCAAAATAAAGATGATCTAACCAACAAAATAAAGTGGTACAGAAAAAACCCACAATAGTAGGAACGAAAAATACTATGGAAGTCAACAGCTGCTTTTTTCCGACATTCTTCAAAATATCTTCCTGTACAGACATTATTAGAACCCACTGTACATTATAATTGAAATCCTGATTTGCAATTCTACATTTGATTGTTCTTTGATGCAGTCCTTCTTCTCATACGGTCTATAAGTTATTGTCTAACACATCAATAGATGTGAAGAAAATCCTATTGTTTACTTCTGTGTCTGGAACAAAGTGCTATTATGCTTCTCTTGGATGGATATAAATTACAAGGCTGAGCTTTAATGCTGAATGAGACACACACAAGACAGTTTATTCAATTCACATTTATTGCAAGTGTTTGGCCTGCTGGGGAAATCAAGTTCTTTCTGGAGCAGTGATTGGTCACTCTGGGGATGATGAGTGGAGATCGTGAGGCAGGCCTTCTCGTCTGGAAGAGAACAGAGTCAAGAAAATCAGTGTCGATGTCTAAATGAAGCTGAATTTGAGTATGAATTAACATGACCTCTGACCCACAGAGAATTCTATATATACATATGTGTGTGTGACATACAGCATGTTCCAGAAGTGTTACTAAGCTCAGTCAGATGTCATGTCACTTAAATGAGATGAAATTACCTTTTAGAATGTGTCCACACTAGCTCCTGCTCCTGAAGTAGGCATAAGCAGCACAGACACCTATGCCGACTCCGACCCAGGCTGCTGGACTGCTCACCGCAGCTTTCACAGCACTTTTCACATTGTTGGAGATCCTTCTTCCCCATGAAGACTCGCTGTTCGCTCTCTCCTCTGTGTCTCCAGCGGCCTCTCTCTCTGTTTCTTTACTGGTCTTTCTCTCCTCTGTATCTCCAGCGGCCTCTCTCTCTGTTTCTCCACTGGTCTTTCTCTCCTCTGTATCTCCAGCGGCCTCTCTCTCTGTTTCTTCACTGGTTTTTCTCTCCTCTGTTTCTCCAGCTGTCTCTCTCTCCTCTGTTTGTCTTGGAGAGCTGCTGTCATTATCTGAGAGGACCTCAATTGTCTTGTCTGGGCCCCACATGATGACCAGAGGTTTATTCAGTAAATCAGTGAAGTTCAGAGCTTTTTGTGCTCGCACTGCATCACGTCGATGATGGAAAGTCACAAAGGCATAAGCAGGAGAGATGATGTTGTTTCTGCACACTTGCACAGTCGAGATGGACCCCAATGCACCAAACTTTTCAATAAGCTGTTGTTCGGTGACCATTGGGTGCAGATTGCTCACGAGCAGTGTCTTCAGCTCAATAAAGCGGCTCGTGGGGACCACAGGATCTGGTTGCTGGTCCCGTCCTGAATGCTCAAAAGTCACATAAATGTGTCTGCAATTAGTGTCTTCATCAAAAGAAAAATCCAAAGAGTGGATTTGGCTGAACTGTTTCATTGACTCAATCAGTTCTTGTTCGTCCACATTTGGGTCCAAAGTCAGAACAACCGATGACCACTCGTGATGAGGGTTGTCTGAAGACTGATTATAGTAAGTATCCATAGCGAACGAGTCCTTCACAATCACAGATTTGTCAATTCGTACAGTAACTGTGTGATTTACCAAGTCACTGTCCTGAATGCTGGCAAACTGAGATGAGCTGTTCTAACATAGAACTACTATAGAACACATTCTATGACTGTCGTTGCTAAGCAACCATCAGCTGGGAGCGCGTGTGTGCGTACACAAACAGGATTCTAAATTGTTTATAAATGAATCTTAATCTGTTGACTATTAGATAAACTATTTATTATTATTGTTTTATCCTACAGATGATTGTTAATGTGCTGTTAATTATTATTTATTAGAAAAACCACCACTACTATGTCAATTGTTTTTATATGTCCTATTTAATGTAAACATCACAAATGCTTTGGAGATACATATGTAACATTTGTCAAGCCAATAAAAAAATCTGAAAACATTGACTTTCTCTGTGTGTGTGTTGGTATTTTTAAAGTTTTAACATATACATCTATTGAAAAATAACCAGTTTCTGTTGGTTTACAGAAGCTTTTAGCAGAAACCTTTGTCTCCTCAGCTGCTTCAGTTTATTTAATGAAGGATTGAGTGCGGAACAGTTTCTGCTCTGAAGATATTCGGTCACAGAACTAAACCTACCTGCAAGAGTGATTTATATTTGACTGAATAGAGTTGATAAAATAATAATATTCACGGGTGTAAAATTCCTAAATGCACCTAACACCATAACCATAACACCTAACACCATATTCCCTTATTAAGCGTCTGTATATACTTAGAAATAATGTATGTATGTATGTATGTGTATACAGTTGATGTCAGAATTATTAATCCCCCTGTTTATTGTTTTTACCAATTTCTGTTTAACGGAGAGAAAATTATTTCAACACATTTCTAATCATAACAGATTTAATAACTCATTTCTAATAACTAATTTATTTTATCTTTGCCATGATGACAGTAAATAATATTTGACTAGATATTCTTCAAGACACTTCTATACAGCTTAAAGTGACTTTTAAAGGCTTAACTAGGATAACTAGGCAGGTTAGGGTAATTAGGCAAGTTATTGTATAATGATGATTTGTTCTGTAGACTATCAAAAAAAATAAAGCTTAAAGGGGCTAATAATATTGACCTTAAAATGGTGATTTAAAAAAAAACTGCTTTTATTCTAGTTGAAATAAAACAAATAAGACTTTCTCCAGAAGAAAAAATATTATCAGACATACTGTGAAAATGTCCTTGCTCTGTTAAACATCGTTTGGGAAATACTATATAATTTAATAATAATAAATCAAAGGGGGGCTATATATACAGTTGAAGTATAAGCATAAGCAAAATAATTTATTTATATTTATTTAATTATTAATTATTATTATTATAATTAACTTGAATACATTTACATATCTATACATAATAATTTTTATTATGTACTTAATTATTATTTGATGAATGCAGGCTCGAAATACACTAAATCACAGTTCAACCTTTAGATGTCAGTTGTTATGTGCTCAGTTATGTGTGACTACATTCATGTCTAATTTTAAGTCATATTCACGTTTTTATTAGCCTTTGCAGTGGAGTGTATATTTAGATATTGAGAGACTTCCTGAAAATTATTATTGGACACATACAGTTGAAGTCAGAATTATAAGCCCTCTTTTATTTATTAATTTCTTTTTAAAATATTTCCTAAATTATGTTTAACAGAGCAAGGAAATTTTCACAGTATGTCTGATAATATTTGTTCTTCTGAAGAAAGTCGTATTTGTTTTATTTTGGCTAGAATAAAAGCTTTTTTTTTTTAGTTATTTCAGTTTTTTTATTGGTCTTTTGCATGACAATAAAAATTAAATATTGAGAGGTAAACAGTAATGTATTGTCCATAAATAATCCCACCCCCTAACCTCTCGTTCATTAACTCAACAAAACAATAAATACATAAATACCAAAAAAAGAAAATTAAATACATTAGAACATGACATCAGAGTAACTGGATACAGATGGGACAAATAATAATAATTAAAATAATAATAATGCATTTAAATAAATACAAAAAAATGATAATAATAAAATTAATTAAAACTTTCTGATAAAATGGTTAATGTTACAGGTTGCCAGCACCAGGTGTAATAGGCAGGCCTTTGATGTAGTCAAGAAAGGAATCCCAAATCTTATAAAAGGAATCTAGTGAGCCAGAGAGTGAGCAATGAGCATCTCAGCATTCCAAGTCTGATACAGTAAAAAATGTCCTGTATCCACTTGTCATGTGTAGGGGAAGAAGTGTGTTTCCATTTTAAAAGTATGGCACGTCTGGCTAGAATTGTGGTAAAGGCAAGAACCTTGCTGTCACGCACTGTCAAATCAGGTTCAAGAGATACACCAAAGAGGACTATCAAAGGATCAAGTGAAAATCAGTTTTTAATTTTCTTAAACACCATTTTAAGATCAATATTATTAGCACTTTTAAGCTATATATTTTTTCTACAGAACAAACCATCGCTATACAATAACTCGCCTAATTACCCAAACCTGCCTAGTTAAATATCTAGTCACATATTATTTACTGTCATCATGGCAAAGATAAAATAAATCAGTTATCAGAACTGAGTTATTAAAACTATTATATTTAGAAATGTGTTGAAGAAATCTGCTCTCTGTTAAACAGAAATTGGAGAAAGAATAGACAGGGGGGCTAATAATTCTGACTGAACAGAAGAAAAAAAACTTAAACAAGTGGTGGATGAGGAATTTTCAGTATTTTACTGTCTTTTAAGTTTAGATGATCATATATGAGGTTTGTGTTTATAATTTCCACATAAAATCAGAAATCAGGAAAGTAAAATTAATGACCTTCAAGATTTTTGGCAGGAGATTTCTCAGGGTCTTTTTCATCGGGTTTGGTCTTCTCTGGAGATTTTGGCTTGAGGACGGTTGTCTTTTCACTCAGTACAGTTCTGCAGAAACAACATTTATCATATGATCTACAGTACATGATAAAATCACACATAAACTGCTATTATATACAGCATTTCATAAGAAAAGTTGCGTTTTTATATGATAAGGAATGCTAGTATGAACTTAAAGGCACAATATGTATGATTTTTCATTAAAATATGCAAAAACCACTCGGACAGTGTTATATATTTTGCTGTCTTATGTACATACATAATCCACACAAATTTTTGTAGAATATTGACATTGAGATAGATGTAATGTGTGCTGTGTGTTCATGCTAATGTCATCACACACATTTCTGCTTTGGTTTTCTAGAAAACAGGGAAACAGCAGCGAGGCTTTAATATGTTGTGTGTTTTATTCAACTGCACATAGCAGCATTATAACAGAAGCCTAAAGCAGGTCGCACACCAGAAGCGCCGCTCGGCGCCGCGACACGGCGCGCACATGACAGTTTAAAGTATCACACACCAGACACGCACATTAGAATGATATTTAACATGAAACTAATCAGATGGCGCTCTGTGGCGCGGCTGAAAAATGAACTGCGTCCTGAGCCGTGGCCGTGCGCCGCCGACAGCCGCCAACTTGTGGCGCCGGTGTGTGTATCCTGATAGAAACCTATGCTTAGAATTCTAAAATGCATGATGCTGCGTGGCGCTTCTGGTGTGCGACCTGCTTAACATGTATTTAGTCTGATAAAAAAGGGCTGCTTCTCCATGTGATCACAAGATAAAGAACCAAAAGCGTAGGACTATGGCATAATAAAAGCTCTGCTGCTTTCCTGTGCTGAATGGTTAATACTAATAGTGTTGAATAACTTTACTCATCAACATAAGTCCTGTAGAATAAAGAAGACCACAACTCCCATGATTCCACACTCAGGGTGCTTTCACACCTGTGAACAGATTCATTTGTTCCGAAAACAGGGATTAAATTGCTTCATTGTTGCTCTTTGTTCTTGGTGCGGTTCACTATTACACGGCAAAGTTTCTTTTTTTTTTTTTTCTTTTTTTCTTTTCTTTTTTTTTAATTAGAATATGCAAAAATCATACAAATACAAGAAAAAAAATCAACAAATAACAAATACAAAGCAACGAAACAAAAACAAAACAAAAACAACAACAATATAGTCATGTACTGGTATGTGCTTGAGTGTGTGCGTGTGAGTTTGTGTATGCATGTAAAGATAACTTGGTGGACAGGTCAGAGTACATACATAAGGGACAATGACAGTCAATAAATGAAGCAAGTGTCACAGATATAGATAAAACATATAGAAAGAAACCAGTCAGGGGTAGGGAGCAACAACAATGCTTATTAATGTATGATAGGGCTGTAACGATACACGATATAAAATCGAAATCGCGACACTCAGATCTACGATCCTGTGTCGCGGTGTAATAAGGAAGAATCGCGACACACCCACCCCGTGATACCTTTCCAATAACGTCACGCGTGCCTGCAAAAGTTGAGCTAATTAACACTTTTTTCGTTCGACATTACAAGCACTGCTCCGTTTAAGCCCTCGCAATATTTAGCCGGGAGAGCTCGCACAGAGCTCTTAGTATGGGGCCGTCTGAATGTGTCAAGAATATCAAAAACAAAACCAACTTAACCCCGCTTGACAACCGACAACGCCAGAAACATTGCCAATGCTGTCAAAGCGGCCGGATTTTCAGCGCATATACGATGATTTGCTCACACTGTTAATGTGGCTGCGCAGAGAGGGATGGGCGTTCACCAGATGTTAGGTAACAGCCAAACTTTTCTGTAACCGTGCAGTGCGCTTTCTGTTTGAACCTTTGGGAGTGCTGACTGACAGGTGCGTGAGGTCAGAAAACACGACGAAGCTTTCAGCTAAAATAAACACAGTTTCTATAGTTATAGCCTACTTTATTTAGAGATAAAGGTATATGGCTCTGCATATAATCACTCTATCTTGCTGGAGTTTATAGCCGTTTCGCTTTACTTCAGGACGCATTAACACCGCTCTGAAGGTCTAATCGTTGTTTTAAGTTATCCAGAGCTGTATGAATATACAAATCTTGAATATCACAATAGTATTAAATATTACAATTGCAACAACACAGACAGCAACACTTTTGCACAATCGATACCCAGCTGATTCAGTCGTTTATAAGAGGACCGCGCCTCTTCTTTTTTCCTTGTCAACATAAAGGCAGTAAGGTGCGCCTTGTTTTTGGCCACTTGTTTAACTGCAAGGCATACTTAATTTGCGGGATGATAACGTATAACCCGTGCCTACAGACACATTTGCTAAAGAAGCAAAATGAAAGAAGAATATTGCTGTTTGATACAGACCTGTTGATGCAGAACCAGCGCTTATGTTGACCTGGATCTGCGTAATAAACGCAACAAATAGGCTTTACTTTTTATTTTACAGCTTAAAGCATGTACGCAGATTAATGCAATATCATATTTAAACAAACTGTTTACAAAAAGTCTACATATGCGCGCGTGTTGTTGTCTTTTCATCAGGCAGCGCGCGCACTTGAACCGCGAGGGAGAGAGAGGAAACCATAGGCTATATCAGGACATAATCTTTAAAATAAGGATTTCTATTAAAATGTAAAAGGTTTTGTGATTATAATAATAACAGCGGGGCATTAAATAAATGCATATTTTCCGTGGAGCAAGCAATTTGAGGAAGTCTGCGATTTTTATTTGACGGAAGAAATAAACATATGATTGGAAAAAAAGCCTATGCCGGTTATTAAAAAGAATCAGTCAGTATTTTCGTTTTGTAAAATAAATTAATTATTTAAGTGAAAATAATTTAGGGCAGTCCTATTTATTTTATTCATTTTATTTAGATTATTCTGCTCTTCTGTGCTAAACACTGCAGGTGCGTGAAGATGCTCTGTTGTTCTGTTCCGCTATTAATATATAAAAATAAATCAGTATTTTAAAATGCAATATTTAATGTGTCATACACAAAATAGACACGTCAATTTGTTTAATATAAAATTAATAGTAATCTGACCAGTTAACCGTTAATAACCGATTAATGAGCGGCAAAATTAACGAAATGAGCATCCCTAGCTATTTAATTTACTTTTTCTATGCAAGAGAACTTGATTGAAAAATAATTTTCAACGTGCTTGAACCATCTAAACAATGGAGTTTAGTTTGGTTTTTCAACAGTTTTTTGTTACAAAGAAAACAGAAGTGATATAGCTTTGGCTATTTATTTATTTTATATATGGCTATTTATATTGTTAATAATTTGCATAGTTAATATTGTTCTTTGATGTTTAGTTTATAAAGATTTTTCAAATGTTATTTAATTAAAAATAGTTTTAAAAATCTTTTTTTTTCCCCACCCCACACGAAAAAAATAAAATAAAAAATCGTGATACGAATCGAATCGTGGGTCAAAAATCGTGATACGAACCGAATCGTGGGTTTGGTGTATCGTTACAGCCCTAATGTATGATAGTAAAAATGAGAGTAAAAAAAAGAAAGAAAGGACAACAGTAATAAATGATAACAATAATAATAAATAACAAGTGCTACACCAACTACTACTACAGAAAGTTACTTATATTACAACTACTACTGCTTCTACTACAGCCACAACCACGACTACTACTACTACAATGTCTACTAATACTGATACTACTACCACTACTGATACTACTATAGCGTTTGCTACAACTAATACAACAACGTTTACTGCTACTACTACTACTACTGCTACTACCACCACCACCACAATCACTTGTACTACATCTACATCAACAACATCTACTACTGATATTACTACACCAACAACGACTACTACTACTACTGTAACAACCACACCATTACTACTTCTGCTACTACTATACCAATGACATCTACTACTACATGAACTACTACTTCAATAATCTCCGTAACAATTACTCAATAACAATCGATACTATTACAATGTCTACTACTTCAACTACTACTACTACTACAACTACTACAACTACTACAACTACTACCGTTACAACTACAACAACTGCAACCTTACTAATGATAATGGTATAAATACTTGTAATAATGATAATGGAAAGATAACCGGACAAGTCAGAACAGTAATAATAATAATGATTACAAAAAATAAAAGTAATACCATTTATGACAAAGGTGTCGAGGAGAGGGGAGGATGGGAAATCAGGGAGAGGACAAGTAATAATAATAATAATAAATAATAATAATAAATAATAATAATAGTAGTAAGTAGTAAGTAGAAGGGGAAAGAGAGGAAAAGAGAAAATAAACTAATAATAATGAACAAAAATTAATAAAATAATAATAATAAAAAAATAAAAAATAAATAAATAAATAAAATTTTAAAAAATAAAATAAAACAGAAAAGGAAGGGGAGGAGTAGAAGGAAAAGAAAAGAAACAAAAAGAGAGAAGAAAAATAAAGTTCAGCAAAAAAAATAATAATAATAATATAATAAAGACTAAATTAATAAAAAAGAAAACACTATATCAATGCTAATTATGAATTATACAAACCCACCTGGAAGAATAATATTAAAGATATGTATGATAGATTATTAACTTGATAACTATAATATACTCATGCTGGTAATAATAATAATACTAATAATAATGATAATAATAAAAATAACAACAGCTGTAACAATAAATTGAGGAGGTTGTAGTTGTGTGATGGGCATTGAGGTATAGTGTTTGTCAGTTGCTTTGTGATGCATTAAAAAAAAGTGTAACGTGTGGCATGGATCAGTCCAGTGCAGTGCCCAGACTGCCATGCCTACATTACACTTTACCCTGTGAATTTAGTACATGTAAGTAGATTTTTTTTATTCCTTTTTTTTCCCCTCCTCTATTTTTTCTTCATACTTCTTCTTCTTTTTTTTTAATCTGTTGTCGGACTGGTCAGGAGAAGTACTGGTATATAAATAATAATAATAATAATAATAATAATTTATGTATAATAATAAGTAAAAAACAAATATCATAAATAATAATAATAATAATAAAATGAATAAATAACATTGATAGAGACAGGAAAGGAGAACAAATAGAACAAAAGGGAAAGTAAAGAAGTATATAAAGTCCGAATTATGATTCTTTTATTTTAATTGTTTACATTATACTTTTTTTCCAATTGATTTATTTATTTTAAATTAGATTTAATATTAGATTTTTTTTTTTTTACGTTTTTACACGGCAAAGTTTCTAAACGGACCAAAAGAGATAAAACAAGTCATGTGTGAGTAAACTCTCTTCACATTGGTCAGAGTTTCACGGTTTATTTTGAAGAGTCCTGCTCTGCTGTCAGGGGGGCTGGGGGTTTGGTGGTGTTTGACAGGATGCGCGCAACGTGTATGAAGACTAAAGAGCGAGGAGGGATGCGGTGGGGAGGGTTGAAAGGGTGCGCAACGTATTTGTGGACTGGGAAGGTCCACTGTGCATTTGCGGGAGACTTCCGGGAGACTTGGGATGTCTGGAATGACCTCCCGCCCTACTCATAATTCTGTCTTTATATAGCCGAGTATATGCCTATTACATATCCATAAAACACTGTGATATAGCCGGGCTCGGATCGTATCGCTTTCTTACTACAATGGATCCGCTCCAGAGTTCATTTAAATCAAGCCGAGACCACCTCAATCAGGCAATCTCAGACCGATTGTTTTGGCTTGGATCCGAGCGCGACTGCTAGATTCACCATAGAAAGTGTTTAAAATAACTGTATATGATATCTGTGTTACACTGGAGCATTTTAAAGCCGTGATTCATCAGCGTATTGCTCATATGTCAGCTTATATCCAAATCAGCTGATGGATGTGACTTTAAAACACAGTGTCCTTGTATATGTGGTTACACTCAGTAAATAGCAGTGAGTTCAATAAACCGACGACCTTCATGGCCAATTGCAGTCATTTCTGTTGAGCATGTGAACACAATGGCAAATCAGCGCTGTTTAAGAAAGCGCTCAATGGCGCTCAAATGTTAGCGTGAAATGGAGGTTTTTAAACAGCATCACAGGCTCGTTTTGAAAACATCGTCCCGTGGACGTTTCTGGAGACCGCGAATTATGTAGCCGGAGGTACGTATGGTATGGCTGCATTAAAATTTTTTTTAAACGAACGCTAACTGTGGAAGGCTTTCCCACCGCAACCAGTTTGTCCAGTTAGCTCGTTGTGTACATTAACGGATTTGAGACGCCAGACGAGGACAAGGACGGCGGGATTCGAGTACAGGGAGGAGCGGTTCCAGAAATCAGGTGATGGAGGGTTGGTTGGTCGAAAGCAGCTTCCAGTGGGTTTATGCGTGGACAGCGGGCGCAAACGGCACTAGCGGGAGAACTTACTCGAGAAATTTGAGATCTAAAAAAGCGTACAGAGCGGCCTCTTGTGGATTTGCGAAAACCAAAACTGTATAAATAAGTACCTCCCTGGACGTATTTTGCGGTCTCCAAAAACGTCCATGGGACTACGCTTTCAGAATGAGCCTGGGTTGTTTTAAAACTTCAGTATCGATTGGTACCGAATTCCAGTATCGTGACAACACTATAATAGCACATTTAAGACACTTCAAGACTTAAAAAAAAAGAAAACAAACTGTTGAAACAAACAAAACAGCAATGTGTTGAATGCAACATATAATGTCTAGGGTTTAGCTCCAACTTGCTTCAACACACCTGCCAGGAAGTTTCTAGAATGCTAGTTAGAGCGTGATTAACTTGTTTAGGTGTGTCTAATTGGGGTCGGAGCTAAACTCTGCAGGACACCGGCCATCCAGGATTGAGTTTATACACCCCTGGTTGTATAAACTCAGAGCAAATTAAATAAGCATATCTCACCTAGCAGCTCCAAGACCTGAATGAGCACAGAAGTGGGCACCGTGTCCAGCTCATCCTCAGAGCGCTCTATGGTTTCTCCTACACTGTAGGTTAGCAGCTGTTCAGCGAAGGCCATCGCCAATGGAAACTCAAGAAGCAACGAGTGCAACACCAGCACTGCTCCAGTAGGGGGAGACACGCCTGTGGACAGAAATATAGATATAAGCTAAAGTCAGCAGGAATGGTCTTAATGAATCTGATTGTTCACTTAGAGAATGCAAAATAATGCAGATCACTGTTAAAATAAAATAAATGTACAGTGGGGAAAATAAGTATTAAACACGTCATGTTTTTCTAAAGGAGCTGCTGACATGGAATTGAACCAGATTTTGGTAAAAACCCAAACAATACAAACATAAACATAAAACAAAACCAAAAAATATGAGTTTTGTGTAATAACAATGAAATGACACAAGGAGAAAGTACTGAACTGTTGAAACTTATTTAATTCATTCATTTTCTTGTCGGCTTAGTCCCTTTATTAATCCAGGGTCGCCACAGCGAAATGAACCGCCAACTTATTCAGCAAGTTTGCATTTAGAACATGCAAACTCCATACAGAAACGCCAACCGAGCCGAGGTTCGAACCAGCGACCTTCTTGCTGTGACTGCCTCTCCCAACGTATTTAATACTTTATATAAAAGGATTTTTTGGTGATCGCAGCTTAAAGACGCCTCTCACATGGAGACTGAAGCCTCATGCGTTGCTCAAGTGGGAGTTTCTCATAGACTTCAACAGAGATTCAAAATCTTGATGCTTCTGTGGGTCTCGTCTATTAAATCTGAGCTTTATTTTGTGTTTTCTATTGAATTCAGTTCAGATGATTGGCTGGGCCATTCTACAGCTTGGTTTTCTTTCTCTGAAAGCATTTGAGAGTCTCCTTGGCTGTGTTTTGGATCATTGTCTTGCTGAAATGTCCACCCTGGTTTCATCTTTATCCTCCTGCTAATTTAGATGTTAGACTGAAGCAGCTGATGTTCATTTACACTGAGGAAGGGCAGAGGGTTGCTAAAGAACTACTGAGAGATTTCAGCTGCTGTCTGGGCTTTCCAAGTCTTTCTACACCCAATTTTTTCATGTGTTCGATTATTTTTCCCTGCGTTATTTCATTTTATTGCACATCATTTAATGAATAAACAAACTGGTTTTATTTTCTTTGTATATATGGATTTCTTTAGTTCTTACCGACATGCAGTGAACATTTCAAGTCTACAGCACCGTTAGAAATATGATTTCTGAGAAAAATGGTGACGTGTTCAATACTTCTTTCCCCCACTGTATGTAAGAGATTGTGACGTGCCCAATTTGTTGTGCACTTTGTCGGTGGGGATGATGATGCTAGGATACTGGTTGGCTGTGGGTGGAGAAGTGAGGCCGGTGTTGGACAGAGAGGCGTCCAGCGGGAAACACACGGCCCCCATCAGGTTCAGCTGGCCATTAGGCTGCACTTTATGACTGAATCCATACACCATCACTCGAGTCCATGGAGCTTTGAACAGAGAGGAACTAAGAGAGAGAAAAAATTTAATTAGCATTATCAAATATTTGTACAAGCGGTTCATTCCGCTGTGGCGAACCCAGATTAATAAAGGGACTAAGCAGAAATGAATGAATAAATGAATATTTGAACACAAAATGTCCTTAACACTGAAACTACTGTATTGGCCATAGTGATCATTCTTACCTTTCTCATACTGAACATCACATTCATTCCTATAACTGTGCATTCACACCGAAGGTGGTGAAAACGTCAAAGGTCGCCGTTGCAGCATATCATATCATATCATATCATATCAGTTACATTACCACATAAAACATGCTTTCTAGCGTGAAGATGTTGCACACTTTTTATCAAATTCAATAAACAATGGAAGATCAAGTTGTATGTGGCAAGGTTATAATAGTTTTGGATTTTTCTTTAGTTTTAGTTTCTATTTCGTTTTGACTTTTTGTTTTCAAATTCAGTTAGTTTTTATTAGTTTTAGAGGCAGATTTACTAGTTTTTATTAGTTTCTATATTTTAAAATGTCTTAGTTTTAGTTTAGTTTTTATTAGTTTCAGTATTAGTTTTAGTTTTTTTTCTAAATTAGGATATTTGTTAGGAACAAGATTGAAAATCAACAGGATAAATATTTTATAATTAAAAACGCAGTCATACATTTTTTGAAACATGTATTCAGAGGACACATGAACACTATCATCTACCACAACCATCTAACCATCCTCAAATTCAAATACAACAGCCCACAAGAAAGCAGCCCTAAATACAATATGTGTGCAAGGCTGCTTGTGAGGTTAGACGTAGTGATGGGCAGGGCCGGATTAACCAATGGGCATTATGGGCACATACTCTCCATCACGAGGAAGACAAGTAGGAATAATGAATAAGTGTGTGTATTATGGAGGACTCAGATTCCTAGAACTGGATTGGAGAGGTGTTATCCAAATCATATGCATTATAAGTTTGTAGAAGTTATACATTAAAAATACCCTTAAATATAAGTTTTAGTGCTGCTTCAGTGAACTTGAACAAGTATATTAAAATCTATTAACTTCCCTTAGTTGTATTAAAAAAAATTTTAAAGTGTGCTTAAATGCTTTAAAAATAAGTTAAATCTCTGTAGACTACAAATATATGTACTGTATATCATCTATTTAAACAAATGTGGACAATACATTATAGATTAATTTTATTTAACAAATATTATATCAATATTATTTTTAATTAAACTATGGGGTGCGGTTATAGGGGGCCTACAAGACATTGTTCCCAGGGGCCTCTGATTTATTAATCCGGGCCTGGTAATGGGAAATTCAGATTTCTAACGCAGATGTTAGGACTCAACATTATGTAGTCGGCAATAGTAATTTCAGTCAGTTAAAACATCATCATGATCTGAAAAATGTCTTACAGTGAAGTTTTACTAACTGTAAACCCGAACTGAATCATGCTTCACTTATTTAAATTTCATTACGATTGTCTGTTATGAAATAAACTTACGTTTTTTCTCCAGATCCTCTCATTTAAGCCCTCGGTTTACCCGCGCTGCAGTTGTTTTAAGTTCAGTTCAGTCATACAGCTGGCTGTACCGTTTGTGTTTGGTTCACTGAATCACGCATGCGCAGTATTATCGGTTCACCAACTCTCAATGTAACGTTACTGTTCTAATAACTGCTTGAGAGTATATATTGGATTATCTAAGAGTCAGAGGGGGTATTAGGCTAGTTATTACGTAAGAAGTGGGTGAATGCTTACTGGAGACGCGAATTGTTTCAAATGATTCAGTTCGATTTGGTGAACTTGTTCAACCGGTTCACTTAGAAGATTCGGTTACAAAGATTCGTTCGCGATTGCGCTACAGAAATACAACCCATTATTGGGCACAAATGTGTTAAAGTAATAATTTTAAGTCTCTCTATTTAATGCTATCACCGTGCTGCTGTCATGTCCACTTGTTTTAGTCGCGGGAGCAACAGAGAAGATGACTCGAGAAGAACCGGCTCGATCTGCCCAATGGCGGAAGGAGACTCTGAGGTCCGAAAGGGTCAAACACAAATACCTGCAGCGCGGATTATATTTACTTCTAAAATGCTTACAGTAAGATTATTTATTAGATACATTTACGTATACGAAAATGAAGAAGGTTTTTGCTATAATTCTAGTTAGTTTCAGTTAGTTATGTATGTACACAATACAGTTTCAGTTAGTTTTAGTTTTTGTATGTGCACAATACAGTTTCAGTTAGTTCTAGTTTTTGAAAAAACTCTCGTTTTTATTTTTATTTCAGTTAACGACAATTATTTCACATTTTAGTTTTCGTTTTTTCGTTAGTCTTCGTTAACTATAATAACCTTGGTATGTGGTGTGGCTTTGCTTCACTTAATTTTTAAACGTGTCCATATGTCTGAAATATCCTGAAGCAGCAATACTGTTCTGTCTTGTCGCATGAGATTCTCGCTTTTTTAAAGAAAAATAAATATATATATATATATATATATATATATATATATATATATATATATATATATATATATATCAGGGCCGGCCCAAGCCTTCAGGGGGCCCTAAGCAGGATTTTATTTGGGGCCCCCTTGGTGCAAACAATATGACAAATTATGGTCAATCCTTGATAATAAGGATAAGACTATAAATTTAAAACACACATTATCGATTTTATTCGCTGTAGCTGTGTTGCTTATATCATAAAATATATGTTTTTAAACAATTCTACATATTATTCTGCAGAAACAACTTCCTCATGATCCAACTTTTTATATAACTACTTGCCACAAATCTAAATAATTAGACACAAAACATTAATATGGGCTGGCAGAAACAAAAGCAGCTGGAAGTAGCCAATAACATACTTATTTTTATTATTATTCAGGCACAAGACGCTGCCAAACAGTCAAACATAGTGACAATAAAGATACTTTTTTTTTATTGGATATAAATGTTAATACTGAAAAAAATCATATTGTATTTTGTAGTTCAAATAACTTAAAACATCTATTTAAATTAAAATCAAACTAAATCAGGTAGCATTTTCTAGACATACTCGCATATAAATCAAATTAGTAAATATGTACAAAAAATTTTCAGTTTTCAGAAATAATTCTAAATTAAGTTTTTTTTTTTTGTAAAACAAATTAATCTGCAAATGAGATAAGTAAAATAATCTTATTTAAAACCTAAAACAATATTTTTATATACCCTAATTGACAGATTATTTAGCTTTTTTAATGAAAAATTCACATAATTTTGACTAAAAACCTGTCAAGAAAATGTTTATTGGTTTAAGAATTTTTAGATATTTGGATTAAAAATCACACAAAAACTATAAGAAAGAAAATAATTTTTGCAGTGTATTTACCAACTGTCAATTGTATAAATCAGAAGCTTATTTTTAATCGCCAAGTTAAAAAAAAAAGCATTTTGCTGCTGTTCCGGGCACTGCTGCTTCAATCACAATATCAATGATTCTGCAATATATTGATAGATCACAAGAAAACCAGTCACAATATATCACAATTTTGGTAAATGAAGGGGGAAAATGCATAAAAAAATTATGATGAATTTCTTTTATAAACACGCATTTATAGAATTGCAACAATGTAAAACAAGTGCACATCTGTCAAACAAGCTTAAAAATGCTGATGTGCAGAGAGCAGTTTATGACTGAGGAGAGCACATCTCTATCACAGCAGCAAAATCTCAATTTAGTGGAATATGCATTTAAGAAAAAAACTGCCAAAATAGTAATTTATTGCTTTCTAATTTTCTGTAAACTTAAAACACTTATTACAACTTGACCAACTAATTTTATGTAAACATGGAAACATTTTATGCTTAGCCCTGGTTTATTTTTAATAAAAAAATATGTATCCCCACTATCTTTTCAACTGATCAGAATGCTCTGAGAGGTGAGCACAGACTCCTCTAAGCACGTATGTTTTCAGCAGTGGAGAACATTAGTTATTTACTCATCTATTTAAGTTTTTAATTCCCCTAATATTTTTTTGCCAAAAAACAAGACTTTGACAAGGTCTGTAAGAGTCAAATAAACGCAAGTCCCTTCTAATTAAATGTTTATGTCCTATTGATATCTTTATATATTTTGGCGGAGGTTAAAAGTTTGAGCACATAGGAAGTTGCACTGGCCGCGGGCACGTGCGAGCGATATAGCGAAGTGAAAGCGCGTCTGTAAGAAAGAAACTAGTGACAAATTCGGGGGAGCAGGATGTCTGAAACACACAAATACTTTGGACCAGCTTGGACAGAAGAAAGTGTCTGTATGCCTGAGATATTCACCATTGCAATGGCTCATCTCTCAGACTCAGTGATTTACATGACGCTGGTGTATGTCTAATGATCCGCCATTACTGGAAGCGCCACCTGGTGGCGGCTAGGTGTACTGTAGCTAAAGCGGTTATCTGCTGCAGTCGGTGTTGAAAACGCTTCAGGTTACTAATGTAACCATGGTTCCCTAAGGGAACGAGACGCTGCGTCTCTTTCGGAGACACAATGGGATACAATCCCTCTCTTATAACCTCCTGAAGCACAGGTGAAATCAATCCAATTTAATTGGCGGGACCGTGTGTGACGTCAGACCAGGAGGTATAAAAGCACCACGGAAGCATACAACTTCAGCTTAGAACCTCTCGAACGAAGCGCACCAGGCTTGAAAAAGTATGGCAAAGCGACGCAGCGTCTCGTTCCCTTAGGGAACCATGGTTACATTGGTAACCTGAAGCGTTCCCTTTCGGGAACTCTACGCTGCGTCTCTTTAGGAGACACAATGGGAACGCTATCCCAAACACGCCATAGTTTGATATGCCTGGTATGAGTTCTCCTAATTCTAGAAAAGATACTGGTTCTCAAAGTAGGATCCAGATTTAATCATTAAAACCTTTTGAAGGTTTGCAGTGTAGAGAACCCTGCTGTTTCCTCAGGTGCCAGCCAAACACTGGCCAGCATAAAGAAGGATTTTGAAGCCGCCATACCCCTGGTAGAATAGGCCCTTATTGCCTCTGATAGAGAACGTTTCAGGGCCTCATAAGTCAGTGAGATAGACTCGACTATCCACTGGCTCAACGTCTGCCGAGACGCAGATGCCCCCATATTAGGTGGGTCATAAACAATGAATGATTGTTACATTGAACTCCATTCAGCCATATGATGTATGCGTCTAACGCCCACACTGGGCAAAGCAGATGAAGCGCTTCTGATCTGCGTCATAAATGGAGGATTAAAGGCCTGCAGCACCATAGGTCGTACCACTTCATGGAGACCTTAAAGAAGTACCCTATTGTGGGGTACAGGAATGCTCTCACCATGCCAGGTGAGCAAGAGGGAGCTCCTCTTTTGAGATAAAATGCCATTTCAGCATTAGAGACTTTTTTTACATCTCCTTCAATGCAAAAATAGGGACTGTCCACAGGCCCTCGAGCACTATCAACAAATCCTGAATAGGAATTTTACTGGTGCATTTAGGCCTCAACCCCCTGGATCCATGGAGGAATCTGACCAATGCTACAGATACATAAAGCGTCTCATTAAAACGCTCCTGGATAAAATTCCAGCACCAACCCCACAGGTGGTGAAACTGGACCCAAGTGGTGGTCGGTACACCACAAAGTGAAAAATTTACCTGGTGGCATACAATGTCCTCATGGAAGGGGCTCTGGAGCTTAGTGTGGTTTGAACATGTTCAGTTGAAAAACCAAGATCTATGAGGTGGGTCCCCTCAGAGGCCACACCCGTAGCTTGCCTGGGACAGAACTCTTCTGAACAAGAATCTCCCATGGGGGACCATTAAGGAAAGACATTAGGTCTGAGAATCACACACTTGTAGGCCTAGGGGCCACCGATAGTAGGTTGAGCCCTCTAAATGGACTCTCTCCAGAACTCCCAGGAGCAAAGCGATCGGGGGGGGGAAAGATACAGACAAAGCCTCAGCAATGTCTGCACCATGACATCCAGTCCAAATGGTGCTGGGTGTGTCAGTAAAAAACCACAATGGGTATTGTTTGTTTTGACAGGTGCATATATCCACGTCGGCTCTGCCGAATCTCTGTCAAATGGTCGCTACAACTTCTGGGTGCAGTCGCCATCCCCCAGGTGCCAACCCCTGCCTCAACAGGAGGTCTGCTCCTACATTCCTGGGCCTGAGATGTAAGCTGAGATGTCATGCAGCTTCACCCGAGCCCACAGAAAGTTCTGCTCCGCCAACCTGCACAGAGGGCGCGGATTCAGACTCCCTAATGGCTGACAAATGACCACCGATGTGTTGTCGGTTTTCACTAACACATGGTGACCTCTTATTTGAGGGAAACAAGTGTTTCAGAGCATGAAACACTGATAACATCTCCCAGCAATCGATATGCATGTGGAGAAGATGGTCCCTCCTTTGCCCCAATGTGGGAAGGCCCCTCAGGGTCGCTTCCCAACCCTCGCATACAGCTTCTGAACTCAGTGCCATGCGCTGAGAGATTACTCCCAATGTAGGGCTTTGGGACAGAAACCAGGGCTGTCACTAT